AGGGGCGCTGTGGGTCAGAATGGACTCCACGGCAGTGGTGTGGTTTGGGCTTTGCTTCTGTGAAGACTGACAGCCTTGGAGACCCTGTGGGGCAGTTCCACACCCCTGTGGTTGTCGACACCCCTGTGATTATGGCTCGTAGCTGCCCCCATGACCCCGTGGTGCTGCTCCCAGGGCTTTCCCGGGCTGTCGTCCTCACAGCATGGAGCCTTTGGCCGGCAGACAGGTGCCTGGCCACGGTGCCAGCGGGCTCCTCTGCGCCCTTCAGGTGCAACGAGAGGCTAATCCCCGCACCCACGGCCCTTGCCTTCCCTTTTCCCAAACTCCCTGCCGGCCGTCTGCCTTCGATGCTTGCATTCACCTGTGTTCCCAAAGCTCACCAACTGGCTGGTCCTTGGATGGACTGACTGCCGCTGTGGCCTGGGATGGAGGGGCCATTCTGAGAGGACTGTCCCTGTCGGGGTCACCCCACTGGGAGCTCCCTGGAAAGACGGAGCCCAGAGGGTGTGACAAAGCCCACGGTGACACACGCTCTCCAGGGCTGCTGTTGGGTGCGTCCAGGCAACTCCAACTCACAGCAACCCCCCTTGAGAGCAGACGTCTCCCACGTAGGTCTCAGACTGTGGTCCTCAGAGAAGCGGAAGCCACAGCTCTGTCCCGCAGAGCGGCCGGTGGGTTCAAGTGACCGAACCTTCATTCACCAGGGCTCCGTGTCTAAATCCTAACCATGGTCTCGGAAGCCTTGCCGGCCTGGTTACCCTGCTCAGGAGCCCAGCCCTCTGGGACGTCCCGGCGTGTTGTCCGGTGCCGTCAGCTAAGCTCTGACTCACTGGGACCTGTTGTGACGAAGAAGTGCCCCGTGGGGTTCCCCAGGCTGTCACCATCACAGCAGCCAAGTCTTCCTCCTGGAGACGGAGTGTGGAGTGTCCGGCGGGCTGGAAGGGCCCACCTTCAGTTCACAGCCAAATGCTTAACCACTGGGCAGCCGGGCCACACGGCTTCTGAGCTGGGCCTCCCAGTCAGCCTGTGACCTGTATTCCAAGACATTCCATGTGAACGACGGCTCTCCCACCGGCTTCTGTTGTGGGAAAGTGGGACGGGCTTTGTCCCTGCAGGTGTTATTGAAAGAACGTCGGACAGGTCACATCCAACACTTCTAGTTATGTGTCGTCGAGTCGGACCGACTCATAGTGACTCCTCCTTGGGTTTCTGAGACGGTATCACTATGGAAGTAGATTGCCCAACCTTCCTTCTGAAGAGTGGCTGGGGGGGACTGAACTGCCAGCCTTCTGGTTAGCAGTCAAGTGCCTTGGGCACTATGGCACCAAAGCTCCTACCTTCACAGAAGCAAAGCCCAAACCACACCCAGTGCCTGGAGGGGATTCTGACCCACAGCGCCCCTAGAGGAGAGAGTGGAACTGCACCACAGGGTCTCCAAGGCTGTCAGTCTTCACAGAAGCAAAGCCCAAACCACACCCACTGCC